ACACACACACACACACACACACACACACACACACACACACACACACACACACACATCTGTGTAAATTTGATGCAGACGCCAAAATGTGATGTCAATAACTAATTCTGAAGACGTTGCCGTTTTCTCTATGATGACCTCCTGTAGATGAGAACAAGTTTTCTAATAGCATTATTTATTTAATGAAGCATTGAACAGAATGACAGTTCATTTAAATGGCTAATATTTCTCTGACTTATTATTGTGCTCTTGTGCTTTAAGCAATGATAAATACAGTAAAACGTGAATATTGTCAAACAATATTCTGATTTAAATCTGTTTCCTTTGGAAATACTCTAATATCCAATTTATGTCTTTCATGTAAAGCTGAAATCTTTGTTTTCATCATTGAAGATGGCTGAAAATTCAGTTTACATCACAACACTAAATGATTTCTAACAATATATTAACACGAGATCAACTTTATTTAAATTACAAAAATATTTCAGTTTTACTGCATTCTTGGTCAAATAAAATAGGCTTTTTTGAGAGCAGAAAGATGTCCAGTAGTCTCATATTAAAGATGAATTAAATGTTATTAATGTGTAATTAGTGTGGGTATAAAATTCTGCCAGTATGATAACCTTGGATATAAATATCAGGGTTTCACGGTATTGTGATTACTGCTCTAAATTAAGTTCTTTTTTAAATGTTTTGTAAAAAACAAAAACTTTTATCCCTTTTGAAGACAGTTTTTGTTTTATTTATGTTTTATTTATTTTATTTTGTTAAAGATTTAGAGTATTTTGGGGCAGTAAACGTCAGGCTGAATTATTCACATGAATTATTGACTGCTGCCACTTCGTTTATTTCAAAAACAGTCAATTCTTTACAATTTAAAATGGCGTCTTTGGAGATAATTTCTGTTGGAGATACTGCTGTCCCAAAAAAACTAACAAGAAAATGTCAATTAAAATATCTTACATGTACCCTAGGAATGATATTACAGAACATTTTGACTGCCTTGACTTTTTCAAACCGCGGTATACCTTGAACACGGTTATCGTCCCATGCCTAGTGTACGTGTACGTGTGTGTGTGATGTAGCTCAGTGTTGCTGATGTTGTGTGTTTCTGCAGGTCTTCACGCTCTCAGGAGGGTTTTAGGCTCCAGATCCGCTCTCTCTGATGTTCAGGTGATGGACAAGGTGAAGGTCATGACCTCTGACCTCAGGCTGGCCATGACAGAGGTCAAACCCAGCGCAATGAGAGAGGTGGCCATCGACGTGCCAAAGGTACAACAGCAGAATAACTCTCTGAACTGACAAACACACTAATTTAAGATAGCTCAATCTAATTGTTTTTGTGTGTGTGTGTGTGTGTGTGTGTGTGTGTGTGTGTGTGTGTGTGTAGGTGAAGTGGAGTGATATTGGTGGTCTGGAGCAGGTGAAGCAGGCGCTGAAGCAGGCAGTGGAGTGGCCTCTCCGTCACCCAGAGGTCTTCACCCGCTTGGGAATCACGCCCCCTAAAGGGGTGCTGCTGTACGGACCGCCGGGATGCTCCAAAACCATGATCGCTAAAGCACTGGCCAACGAGAGCCAGCTCAACTTCCTCTCCATCAAGGTGTGTTACCATAGCAACTGTAGAATCACCACAGCAGATCAATTACTGTGATTGATGTTACCATAGCAACTGTAGAATTACCACAACAGATCAATTACTATAGTTGTGTTGTTACCATAGCACCTGTAGAATCACCACAACAGGTTAATTACTGTAATTGTTGTTACCATAGCAACTATATAGTCACCACAACAGATCGATTACTATATTTGTGTTGTTACCATAGCAACTGTAGAATCACCACAACAGCTCAATTACTATAGTTGTTGTGTTACCATAGCAACTGTAGTATCACCACAACAGATCAATTACTATAGTTGTGTTGTTACCATAGCAACTGTAGAATCACCACAACAGGTTAATTACTGTAATTGTTGTTAGCATAGCAACTATATAGTCACCACAACAGATCGATTACTATATTTGTGTTGTTACCATAGCAACTGTAGAATCACCACAACAGCTCAATTACTATAGTTGTTGTGTTACCATAGCAACTGTAGTATCACCACAACAGGTTAATTACTGTAATTGTTGTTACCATAGCAACTATATAGTCACCACAACAGATCGATTACTATATTTGTGTTGTTACCATAACAACTGTAGAATCACCACAACAGCTCAATTACTATAGTTGTTGTGTTACCATAGCAACTGTAGTATCACCACAACAGATCAATTACTATAGTTGTTGTGTTACCATAGCAACTGTAGAATCACCACAACAGCTCAATTACTATAGTTGTTGTGTTACCATAGCAACTGTAGTATCACCACAACAGATCAATTACTATAGTTGTGTTGTTACCATAGCAACTGTAGTATCACCACAACAGATCAATTACTATAGTTGTTGTGTTACCATAGCAACTGTAGAATCACCACAACAGCTCAATTACTATAGTTGTTGTGTTACCATAGCAACTGTAGAATCACCACAACAGCTCAATTACTATAGTTGTTGTGTTACCATAGCAACTGTAGTATCACCACAACAGGTTAATTACTGTAATTGTTGTTACCATAGCAACTATATAGTCACCACAACAGATCGATTACTATATTTGTGTTGTTACCATAACAACTGTAGAATCACCACAACAGCTCAATTACTATAGTTGTTGTGTTACCATAGCAACTGTAGTATCACCACAACAGATCAATTACTATAGTTGTTGTGTTGTTACCATAGCAACTGTAGAATCACCACAACAGGTTAATTACTGTAATTGTTGTTAGCATAGCAACTATATAGTCACCACAACAGATCGATTACTATATTTGTGTTGTTACCATAGCAACTGTAGAATCACCACAACAGCTCAATTACTATAGTTGTTGTGTTACCATAGCAACTGTAGTATCACCACAACAGATCAATTACTATAGTTGTTGTGTTACCATAGCAACTGTAGAATCACCACAACAGCTCAATTACTATAGTTGTTGTGTTACCATAGCAACTGTAGTATCACCACAACAGATCAATTACTATAGTTGTGTTGTTACCATAGCAACTGTAGTATCACCACAACAGATCAATTACTATAGTTGTTGTGTTACCATAGCAACTGTAGAATCACCACAACAGCTCAATTACTATAGTTGTTGTGTTACCATAGCAACTGTAGAATCACCACAACAGCTCAATTACTATAGTTGTTGTGTTACCATAGCAACTGTAGTATCACCACAACAGATCAATTACTATAGTTGTTGTGTTACCATAGCAACTGTAGAATCACCACAACAGCTCAATTACTATAGTTGTTGTGTTACCATAGCAACTGTAGTATCACCACAACAGATCAATTACTATAGTTGTGTTGTTACCATAGCAACTGTAGTATCACCACAACAGATCAATTACTATAGTTGTGTTGTTACCATAACAACTGTAGAATCACCACAACAGATCGATTACTATACTTCTGGTGTTACCATAGCAACAAACTAATTCTATTTTGGAATACTATTCAGGACAGATAACATGCAAATTGGGATGCAACAAATGAGTCCTCAACTTTTCTAAACATGAGCAAGATTAAACTCTGTGAACAGTGTGTTAATAGTAGAGGCGATGCTTGAAAATGTTAGCAGCATGCTGTTAACATGTTGATAGCACGAAAAGACTTGAACTAGTGTCAGGGGAAATCAAGATCATGTAGAGAGATGCTTTAGTAAATATAGTGTTATTGCTCCTGATCTGGAATAAGTAGATGCGTCTGCAGATCAGTGTGTGTGTGTGTGTGTGTGTGTGTGGTGATGCAAGTCATCTCGATCTGATCAGTGTTTAGGAGTGTTTTAGCAGCAGGAGGATGTTTAGTCTGAGAGATGCTCACAGTTCAGAAGCAGAGCCGATATCAATCTCTGGAGGAGCACTCACGGAAAACACACACACACACACTACAGGAGAGAAAACGCAGACCTCTGTGTGAGAGAGAGAAAGAAAGAGAGAGAGAGAGAGAGATGAAGAGGGAGAGAGAGACATTTTTAATACTGTAGTCATTTTTTGAGGTCTGGATAATGCCGTTTGAGGTCTACTTCATCCAGACTGTGTGTGTGTGTGTGTGTGTGTGTGTGTGTGTAATTATCTCACTGATGACTGATTAATGAATTCTTGACAGTAATTATGAGTGTTTGGTGTCCGCAGGGTCCAGAGTTACTGAGTAAATATGTGGGAGAATCGGAGCGAGCGGTTCGAGAGGTAAATCACCCCAAATGATGACACTTATTGATGGTTTAAACCTGCATTTCTTTATTAATATTCCCTCAAGCAGCGTTCATTCATCCCAATTCTGAAGTGCTCATGCTTTCTGTGAGGAACATTATATTTACATTAAAGAAACACGAGTGTTGACAAACTCAAGGTTTAGTGATGATCTTGTAATGGGACAGTGTGCCTATTTTCTGTGTTATTGAGCCTGTGGTGATGCTTCATCTCATTCTGCAGGTCTTCCGGAAGGCCAGAACTGTTGCTCCGTCAATCGTTTTCTTTGACGAGATCGACGCTTTAGCAGTGGCAAGAGGAAGGTAAAGACAGAATATAGTATATGTATTTTTTTTCATAATTTCTGTTTAATGGAGAGCAGATTTTTCCAACACATTTCTAATCATAATAGTGTTAATAACTCATCTCTAATAACTGATTAATTTCCTCTTTGTCATGATGACAGTAAATAATATTAGACTAGATATTCTTCAAGACTTCTATACAGCTTAAGGTGACATTTTAAAGGCTTCACTAGGGTAATTAGGCAAGATATTGTATAACAGTGGTTTGTTTTGGAGACTGTCAAAACAATAAATAGCTAATAATAAAAAAAAACTAATAATATTGACCTTAAAATGGTGCCTAAAAAATTCATAACTGCTTTTATTCTAGCC